CCAAAACAAAAATCCCCATTTGGTGACCAAAATTTACATTAATTGCTTTTTTTCCCCAAATGGGGATACGATTTGGGGGTTAATTTAGGGAACCACAATTTGGGGCAAATGATAACCTACCAGAAATATGTACATAAAAACTTATTAATTCATCCACAACACCTAATCAGCACATTGAGCAATTTATTAAATTAAAATTCTATATTAGTTTTGTGCATTGATTAAGTGTTCATCAGATATGGACAATATTAATCAACTGTATAGTTTATATACTTCCCACGCTATATTCGCTTGATTATCTCTGATATTTGTGCGAAATATATGTAATAATAGTCGAAAGTACAAATAAATTTGTAATAAATCAAATTGTGAAATAATGATGCCATATTATTTCAATAGCTTAACTCGATATCGGAGTTTGTTGACGAAAGGTATTAGATATGTGTGCTATGATGAATTTTCACTGAATAGATAAGTGCTTGATTAGTGAAACAAAAGTGTTTTTATGATCAATTCTGCAAAATAAACATGTAGAAGCTCATGAAGTCTAGGATAACCGATCAGGAATCATCTGCTGGATTTGCTAGCATTGGCCAGCCATTTACCGTTACTAGTTACAACTTTAAATAAAGCTGATTTCGTATTGTTCTCATCAAAAAAACTTTGAAAATTCAAAACAAATACATCTTGAGTACGATTTCTATAAGACACTTTGATTCACTTGTATGAAAATGTGTATAACGTCAGATTGATTACTTTATTAGTATAATGCTACATAAGTTTTGATTTCAAAAAGCTTCGATAGAAATAATACTCATGATTATTAAGTGAAGAACAAAGAAATAGTTTTTATGAGACACTGATGCCTCTTCCAGCTTGGTCTACAAAACTTCCATGAATAGTTTTTGCATGCCAAGGTCCAATTTCTGCTCTGGCCATTTCCGTCATGTTCTTCGCATCGAGTATCACCAATATGCATGCCTCCTGGTCATCATTACGAATTTCATTGACCATAGTGAGAACGACACCGTCATCTTCTTCTGTACCTAAAGGATTGGGTAAAAAGATTGGTTCGGAACATGACGCTGATGGAGGATCAAATCGACGAGTATTGGGACCAGAGCCCTGCTTTTTGTCGATTGAACAACTAGATCCAACCTGTTCAAGAGTGGAAGCAAAATTTGTAGCAGGAGGACCTAAATCCATTTTTTGTACGGCACTGAGGATCACATCATGGCCATTTTTGTGTGTCGATTCATTTTGATTTCGGCAAGTACCATACAAATAGCGATAAGGCTTGCAATGTCGTCGAGGATCGAAATGCGGTAAATCAATATCAAGACCTAGTAATTCATAAACTGCACGCCGTGGTATATTTGATGGAGTAGAAGGAATATCGTTTAACTTATATCGACGAAGTTCAGCGACGGGAACATAAGTGTTACTTGCTTTTCGACCGATCTTTCTGTAGGATACCGGTTTAACATATTTTTCATTATACATACGCGCAAAATCAAAACTTGCATCAATAACTCTACCATCGGGATAGGTAGCGATGTCCATCCATATCGTTCCATTATCGTCCCAGGCATTTGCAGTATGAAAGCCAAAGGCTGAATCAGATTCATAGGTTGCTACATGTAGTCCAGTGGTACGACTGAGAACATGAAAGAGAGTAGGAAGATTCGGATCGAAATAGAGACTATCATAGGCATTGCCATACCAAAGAATTGAAAGAGAATAATAAGAAAAGTAATATGACCAATTTGGGATAATGACATAATTATCAGTAATAGCAAATGAATGTGTATAGCACGATTTTAATGGTCTGCTTGAAAAAAAATAGCCATTTGGACGTGATAAGTTTTGTATTATGGGCTGAAACTTCTTCACTTTTGTCGCTCCAGGCACTGACGGCGTTGAGTAAGAGAACACTCGCCAAGTTGGTTTAGGAAATGTTTCAAGAATGAAATTGAACCATTCGCCAGTCTTCATATCGTACTGATGATGAGAAGCTGCAAATCGATCGCTATATTCCATATCGATAGTTCCATAAGTGAAAGCCTTCTTCGGTTCTAGTGTCTGATGATCGACAAGCTGCAAAATGTTTGCATCGGTTTTCACAACCAGAGCCATACCAGCATCGACACCCCACTGTTTTTCTAGATCTTCACCGAGAGGAAAGTTCGGTGCAATAGCGACATTAATATTTTCGCCTTCAGGATCCATTCGCATTCGTTGTTCGAGTTCTCCCCGACATAAACCGAGCAACTGATGATAAACGCTTTGTATACGTCCAAAAATCGTCTTGCATGGATCAGGACCGAAGAATACCAAAGTACTGTCATTGCGAATAATTCGAGATTTGACACCATTGGCAGTATGTCGAGAAGTGTAAGTAACACGTGGATTGTTCCCACCATGTATTTCGAAGCGATGCAACATTGCTAGGCCATCGAAAGGATGATTGAAATGAAAAACAGATCCGTCAGGTTTAGGCACAGAGAATGTACCAAGACCTAAAACAAGTAGTTACTCTTATCGGTCCCTTTTTGCTTTTTCTTCTATCCCAAATAGTTTTGATGACTAGATGAGATCTAATTTTTATATGCCGCTTATTTATTCTTTCCAGCTCTCAAAAATGGTAAAAACTAATTTGCATGCTTACTCATATGACATCGTGGATCAGAAGAGTGACATGCACTAGAAACTTTTATTGACAATGTTCTCCATGACTCGCAGAAAGTCAGTTAGGATTTGTTTAACAAAGCGTTTTATTTTCTTTTGAGTATTACTATTCTAATTACATAATAACAGTAATATTAATATGATCTAAAAACGGGAATAAATAAACGGTTTACTTACCGACTCGATAGAGAACTCCATGGACCCATTCTGGTATTTGACCATCCACTTTAACATCAATAGGTGTAGTACAAGCAGTTAAATTCTTGTCTCCGAATGGAGATGTCTCATTTAACGTGGTGCTATCAGCCATTATTGCAATAAATATTTTCTTATCTGAAATTAATCATGCATAGCTTTCTTTTATTCTACTACATACTGCGCCAACGAGCTTGAATACGTGAGAAAACCAACGCGACAAGTTTACGATAGAAAGAAAAAGGTAGTCAATCCTATAATAACTTACGCATGATAATTTTTTTTCTTCTTCGTTCTTTCATTGCTTTATACAAGGTGAGAGCGTGTACTAGATTATGTCTACTCATGAGCAATAGACGAATCTGATTATTATTTATCTATCTTCAAATAGACTAGTATAGCAAACTTTATTTCTTTCCAAAAAATTAGTATGTGACTGAAACCCATGAGTTGAAGAAGTGCCTATTTTTTGTGAACTCATTTTATTTTACTTCCTTTGTATCCATATATTGAATTTACCTAGCTAGTTACATTCAATTTTCTAACGTAGCACGACTCATCTTCAATTATAACACTTATGCCTGTCATTTTGTGACTTCGCACTCCTTCATTCACGGTAGATAATGAAATAATTGTCAGCTAGACTTCCATTAGCTCAATGATGTTTGCTATTTACCCAAGTAAGAAAAAGTATGAACCTTCTGATGATTTTTGAATAGAAGTGTTAGTAACGTATATGTACCTAACAAGCACATCCGCAATATTTCTATATAGAAAGACAACAGAAAAAAATGGTGGATAACACGCGTACCGTTATATTTTTTAATAATGGTATGCATGTTATTCAATAATTTTTTTTTGTTCTGTCTTTGTATATAGAAATATTGCGGATGTGCTTATGGAAATACGCTTTATTACGTTTCTTCTTATGAAGAATCGCATCGTTCTCATACAAATCATACGCTTATATACTCGACCATCCAAAAGAAGAAAGGAGAGAATACTAAGCACAGAAAGTAACAGCAATGCGATAGGGACAAAGTACAACATGATGTACGAAGAAAAAACCAAAAGATAAGGAAAATACATAAGATGAGAAGAAGTAATAAGGAAAGGTTAAAAATCATGCATACCATAGGTTCAACGGGTGCGTTACACTTATACAGTCTCTTAGATGTCAAGTCCAAAGTTACTTACAATAAAAGAGAATATCTCGAATCTTTATCGTACCCATATTTACCATCTATGTACAATCACTGGTTTTGCGAAAAAAACACATAAAATAGATTCTTATATCAGAAGAATTAACAAGTGCAAGGAGCTAGGAAACTTTTTAAAAAGATATGATGTCCAATGAAGAGACCAAATCATTCTAGTTAGTCAGAAAAGAATAGTTTCAGGTTTTTGATTAATTGATTTGATGATCATTTGGAACTTTTCTTGTTCTTGCTTGATGATGAAACTCATCGAATGTGGAAAAATATTCATAGAATTAGACATGCACAGAATCTGAACCGTTCGAGTTCGATGTATACTACAAAAGATCATTCTCATTGCGTGGACAGAGGAAAAATTGCTATGAAAAAGTACATGCTCGGTGTCGACGGTTAATGTTTCTTTGTAAATGCTTCTCGAATACAAAAAATACAAAGTATGTCAGTCGCAGTTAAATATCAACTCGACAAGGTTATTTTCCTTCATACTACCTCAGTATCCATTTTCCTTGTTTTTTTTCGTTTGACACAGACACATTTACATTTAACCTAACCATATACGAAAGACTTTAAATATAATTGTCGATCCGCAAGTTCCTGACCAGAAACGATGTCGAAGAAGAGCCACTAGTTGTTGTACATACGCTTGAAACAAATAAGACGTCGACATGTTTCTGACATATCCTAATAGAGCACGTACTGACGCAGCAACGGTCGATAGGTTATCAACAATAATTTGCCTGTTTAAGTGAATATGAACATTACTACAGATCCAACAAATCAATCATTTTTGAATGATGGAAGGGTTGGCAGTAGAGTAGTGAAGTTTGTTTTGATAGCAAGAAGTAGCGGTGGTTTTGATGAGTATATGATAGCTTCAAGACCGTGTGACTCTTCCACATATATAGAAAAAGTCGACATTGGTTCGATTTTTTGCTTGGGATTTCGCAGAGTTATTGGCCAACATTTCAATTATCTTTCATCCAACTTGAGTGTCAGTGTGTTTGTGCCTGCGTATCTTCTCTTCATCCACAGCCCGACTCTATCAAAAATTTTTATATTCTTTATCAAGGTGTGGGTGGAATTTGGTTGTCACTATAGTTCTTCTCTTCATCGATACCCACACCCTCTTTTCGAGTCATTTCAGTAGCGGTTCAGATTTGGTCAACATTTCGATATGCAAAGAATTTTGCGATGACATTTATTTTTGACTAGATAAATTATGCTGATTCAGAATATCATATTTCTTTTTCTCATTTTCCAATTTTGGATACTCAAAAATCTGTAAACACAAGGACAATTTTTATTATTTTACTAATATTATTGAAAAAATTATGTTTTTCGACAAGAAATTAAAAGAAAAAACAAATAAAAGGTATGAGCGTGAGTGCGTTTGTGGCTGTCGGCGAGTTGCTCGAGTATAAACTGCACTTGCACTCGCTGCCTCAAGAAAGTTGTATTGAAAATCGTTAGAATGATACTCAATTACAATCAGATAATTATTTATTTAGGAGCAGGTGGTACAGTTATATTAAATCGATATCCATATTCTAATCCACCACTTTTTACGGTGACATTCCTCAACGTCTTTTCAGATTTCTTATCAACGATCAATAACTTTGTTGATACACCTATACCTTCAAAATCTGAAAACACATAACTAGTAAAAGAAGACAATAATCTGTTGTAATTGATTACGACACTATTAAAATCCATTGTGATCAAATAACTGTCAGTTTTTAATGTAACCAATTGATGAAGTGGTATAGTGGCATTACCGAACGAATCAGTAATATTAGTCCAATAACTGCGTTCTACTTCAAATCGTTGAAGCGTTTCATCATTGCATGAATCAAATGATAAATCCCAAACTTTCACCGTTCTTAATTCTATGTTGGTTTTCTCATCTAAACGAATATCATAGAAACGGGCATCCATAACACCTAGGAATTCGCCAGCATAACTGAGACCAGTACCAGCAATAATGCTAAGTTCTTGAGACTTATTGTCTGCTGGAATATTCACATAGTACCATCCCCATGCATATTTCATGCTAGGTTCTTGTTCTGGTGCGGGGAAGGCATACTTTCACCCCAGTTAGAATCACCATAGGCTCTAGTGGTATTTTTCTTCTCCACAATGAATTCCTCATCTCCTATTTTTAATTTTTCTTCAACACCAGCAACATGAGAATAAGTGTTCCACATGATGATGCCTTCTATCCACCTATCAGGAAGTTCAAACACATCCTGTGCATACCATCCGTAGATCCTAGTTAGTGTCAAGTCCCAATCAATTTCCAAATCTTTTGAACAGCCTTCACATATCCATACATTGTTAATATTCTCCTTTTTCATATTTCCTCTCATACGAAATGTATCATTGTTAAGTGGTAGAATCTCTTGAATAGTTTGATTCGTAGTGGAATGAATTTTGAAATTGAATTCTTCATTGATGGAAAACGCATTTCTTTTGTAAAACTCATACTTTTGCAATCTTTGATTGTTTTTGTTATCCACTAGTGCGAAACCAACGATAGCTCCGTCATAATCACAAGATTTGATCTCAGTATTTTTGCACAATGTAGCATCGTATGTTATGGCGAAGTGACGATCGTTTTTGGTATCACGAATCCAATAGTACCACCGTTGATAATATGGAAGATGCTTCTTGTATTCTCAGTGACGATAACGCTGGTAGTACAATGATGGTTGAAGAACCCCATTATTGGGAAGTTTAATAGCGCTAACGACGACGATACTGCTTATGGCTACAAACACTAGCACAAGCATTGACATATGAAATTTCATTTCGATTTTTTTCCACTCAAATGATATAATATGTTAGGATCTAGAGCATGATTAATATATAAGATTTAAAATGCCATGATTTCAAAAATTATCAATACTTGAACAAGGCAGACAATGCTGGAGACATGACTGTGCTTGATTTTTAATCTGATGCTATCGTTGAGTAAGGAATAAAAAAGTAGACTCTGTTACAATATTTGAAATGTTTAAGAGTTTCTCTTCAAATTTCCGAAAGGATCTCATCAAATTGCCAAAAAGGAATCCCAGACTGGCTTTTGGTTCTCCTCATCGTTAACAGCTATAAAGAAAACTTCTCAATACACAATTCAATAGATCTTGGAAAATACTTTCAGAATGTGGATTAGAAGGCAGCATAGAAACATTTCTTTCAAACCAGATGCTTTTTTGAAAGACTAGGTTTTGTAGAGGAAGTGGGTGTGCCTGAATTTAAAGAGAAGACCCACACCCACACCCCACACCTACATCATGCAACTAAACCCACACCACACACCCACACCCCGCACCTAAACCCACACCCACACCCACCCGCACCCACACCCCCACACCCCGCACCTAAACCCACACCCACACCCACCCGCACCCACACCCCCACACCCCGCACCTAAACCCACACCCACACCCACCCGCACCCACACCCCCACACCCCGCACCTAAACCCACACCCACACCCACCCGCACCCACACCCCCACACCNGAGAAAAATTCGACATACTATTGCGCTCTTTTGGGCCCTTGTCTGGTGAATATTTCTGTTAAATATCGTGCTATAGGGCTGAAAATTTTACCATAGTCATGGCTCACCAGCCCCAACATATCCTGAAAGTTTCATGGATTTTGGATGTTTCTGACCTGAGATCGATTTTTGAGGGGGGAGGGGGGCTTAAATCAACAAGTTGATTCAATTTATCCTCAATCCGATACAAGACACGTTGAATCTCACATTCCCTAAATTCGCAATTATTTTTCTTTCTTGGTCTATTTATAATCTACAAGTAGTGTTTTATCCAGCATCCAATCTGAGAAAGTCTGCTACTCGACAAAAATTGCGTTGATTCTCTCGAAGTATTTATTATTAATTTTGGAGAAACTATGTTTTGATCCTCAAAATGTGAACGAATCAAAATATCTCCATAGATGAAACTCAATTTTTCTTATCTCATTTGATCGAAATGAATTCATTAACTCAAAGTAATGAGAATGTAAGTCTGAGTATAGGTGAAGAGAAAATCTCATCAGTACTAACTCCTATTCGAGTCTATCAGGTGAATTATGGGCGCACATTTAATTGGATCCGGCTATGAAACTCGATGAGCTCTAGTATTCACACTCAGTGTTTATTTATAATAAATTTGGTAATCAAAAAAAAGGTTTACCTTTAATTTTTCTAACTCTATCAAAGCCTAATTTGTTAACTGTTAAATGAAATAATAACAAATATTTTTTAACAAGTAAGTATATGTTTATTTCACTCTCCCTGGGGAGTCAAATTTTCTTGCCTAAAGCATTTCTTATGTATTCTTATTAAACACAACTCTGTTAATTATCAAAGAAAAAAAAAACAACTTTCCATGTAACTCTGTTATCAATTAACATAACTATGTCAACATACGTTATTTTATTTGTTCTATTGATAAATATAAAAGCTATTTTATTAAAATGCACTACAATATTCAATCACCAACTGAGATGAAAGTATATTCAAGCATACAATTAGAATCAACAGATGCTCTTTTTTTCCAGCATCAAAAGCATTAATAATTCTCTTTATTTCTTGTTTTATTTTCATTTTATAATCGTTTATAATTCAACCTGCTGTTTTCTTCTACAAACTAAATAATAATTATCTATATCATTATATTAATCTCTCAACAAATATTCATGGGCGTGTCAAATTCATTAATAAAATATAAATATAAATTCATACACATGTCTATTCATTCCCTCGAGCATAGATCACCTGAATGGACTTTTTGTCTGATTAATTTTTCATACAAAAAAAAGAAGAAACAAAAAAAGTTTCTCTTCTGCTTGATAAAGCATAAGAAATTTTTTATTTATTTATACAGATATAACAACGTACACATATAAATAAAACAAAACAAAAAAAAGGTGAATTCGACTGTTACTCGGTCAAACAAAGCAATCTGACATAATGAATAAATACGAAACAAAACTATTTGATATTTATTTACAAAAATGTTTTTCAATTTTTTTTTTACAACGTTGACAACGTACTTCACAACACCAATGAAATTGACAATCACATTCTTCTTCTATTGTATCAACGATTGTTTCATAACCACGATCACAACATAATACTGAACATGAACCAGGTTCATTCATAGTTAAATTGCATTGACGTCCTTGTGTACCCAATGAACCAAGTTGAAGATTTTTTTCACAAAATGATGGTGACATTTGTATATGTATAAGATCAGTTGTATTAAATATTTTTTGTGTATTTTTACGTGGTTTGAGAATATTTAAATGACGATTTAATCGTACTTGTGTTGCACTTGAATATTTTGTACGTAGTTCTGATCCAATAAGACGAAAATCTGGTAATGTACGCCAACAAACACGTAATGTACATGAACCACTAACACCATGACATTTACATGTTAATTGTACATTTCGTTCAACAATCTGACAAAAAAAAAAAATTATTGATTTATAAAAATTAAACACAATGTTTTTTTTTTTTTTCTCTATTTACTTTTCTTCCAGCTTCATTATTATGTAAATTAACCATACGTACAATTTGACGTCGAGTAATAAATGTTTCTTGTTTATCAATAAATGATATACTAATATTTCGACCAAATTTTAAATCATCTGAACAACCTCCCCATTCAAATCCATCATTTAATGATGATGTTATTGTATTTGAATGATGTTTAAACATTATAGCCGTTGGTAATTCTGGTTGACTTTTATCACATCCACATTCAATTAACTCACCTTTTGAACAAGCTTTTGCTATACTATGCATGACTGCAGCTGATGTAAGTGCATAGATAAAAGCAGTTTCAGGTGTTTCTAAAAAAAACAAAACAAAAAAGAAATGTTTAGTTCATTTTTAAGTAGTCTAATTATTTTCTTCTTCAATGATATTTTGTTTATAGACAAGAATGAAACAATGAAAGAAAGAAAGAAAGAAAGTTCAGGGTCTTAATCAAAATGGTATATTTAGCTTGAAGGTAAATTACATCAACAAAACAATGAGTATGCTTGTCTCAAGTTGCATCCTGATGACGACATCAAATAAATCGTGTCCATATTGAAATCTTGTACGATATTATGTAATAACTTCATATAAGTACGAACTTCAATATAATTATATATTGTAAACATTCTTTTTTTTTTGACTACAAACTTTATAACAATGATATTTTTGTCTACGTGAGGAGTGTTATGAGTGAGGGAGCCTATAGCCCGTGGCGTTGATCCCAGTCCGAGTTCAAAAATTTTGCATCCAACAAACTGTAGATAGAATATTCGAAATCTTTTTCTTCAGCATATTTTAGGTTAATCTCTCGAATCCTGATGGCACTCGTTGTCTGTATATAGATAAACTTACTTCGTTGAATAAGTTTTCGGAATATTTCTGGTTGATTAAATAATGAACAATTCCATCGTTGATTACGAAATTGATATTGACATTCATCAATAGCCATACGTAATGAATGATTAATAATAGAAAATATTTTTGGATTTGTTCGACAATATGAACGTTGTTCAAGAGTTAAAAATGTTAATGATAAACAAAATTTTTCTTGTTCAAATGATTGATTTGAATTTTGCAATGATGATGATCGTTTTTGAAATGATGGTAAACCAAGAGACCTTTAAAACAAGATTCATAATAGTCTGTTGAACAGAATATATCAAAATGATAAGAATTGCTTTTCGTTTTAATCTTCTGGTCGTTTATGATCGACAGATTTATGATAGCTTTTTTTTTTTTACTTTTAATTTTTGTCATTACGCTCGTCTTCTGCCCCTCCCCCACCCCCCCTCTCCTCCTCTGAAAAGAACCGTGAGAAATAAACTATAATATGATCTGTATTGTTTTTTTTTTCTCGCTTACTTGAGAAAATATTTTAAATACTTACCACCAAAATGCATTAGAATTTGTAATAATCGTAATAAAAATAAAGAGAATTTGTTGATAATATAAATGACGCATTATATTTTATTGAACAAAACAAAAAGGTACATGAAACAAATTGATTGTTCAACTACTTTCGATGTTAATGAGAAGCAATCTTATGTATAATGTTTATATACCTTTGTACTGATCAACGATAGAATAAGATGAAGTGAACCATTTCTCTCCTTTTTCTACCCTTTACGTCAAGGGAACAAGCGCGCGAGAAAGAGAGAGAGAGAGAGAGAGAAAGCTATTCCGATGTACAGCCTTTTTTTTTTTCTTCTTTCGTTCACGACGAAAAAAAAAAAGCAAGGTGAGAGTATACACAAAAAAAAGAAAGTTGATTGGCTTTTTAAACACTCAAAGGAAATAAAATATCCGGTTGTGAATTGTTTGCTTAGTGATCATATTATAAAGTGTGAATCTAAGAAAACTTCTAATAATTAAATGTAATCAATCTCCTTGAGTGTTTATTGAACAATCTTAATCTTTTTGTCTGGTCGATACTTAAACTTCAAAGTCGAATTTCATGCTGACTAACGATTAAATTGCTCTATTGGATATATGTATGAGTTCTATATCATCCTCATTACATCTGCCCACTTTTCTCTCATTATTTTCAGTCTTTGAAATTTTCAACAGATGTATATAGATGTTAGATCATCATAATTTCTTCATTTTTTTTTTTGACAGCAAACGGTATCATAACGTTCATATTAAAAAAAAAGAAGAATGAACGGTGTGAACGAAACCCTTTAAGCAGTATTTATACATGTTGCTAGCAGCTTGTTTAAACTTTAAAGAATAAATTTGTCATCACCTCAATCATATAGATTAATCAGATAAGTGAGAAATGATAACAAAAAAAGAAACTAGATGAACGTAAAAAAATGGAACGACGGATTATATTTTTTTTTTGTCTTCTCTACAGGATATAATTGATCAATATCGCATAATCGACTTAGTATAGTTGTTTAATTTCTTCGAGATAATATCATGAGAGATCGAATGAAATTATGTTTTTTTTTTTTTTATTTGTTAGAAAAACAGTTTGAGATTATAATCGAACTACATGACTCTTTTGAAAATAAATAAGATCATGGACCTGTATACGTGTGTATGTGACACATAACAATTCGAAAATACACATCGTTCAAAAATGCTTTCATAGGTAATTTTAATAGTTAGTTTTTTTTTTGATTTTAAACTTCAAGATAAAAAAAAAAATGTCTGATTGTCATAGATAATTAACGTTATTATCAACTAATTGCTTTTCTATGACCTTTAATTGAGGGTTGATATGTGATGTCTAGTTGACATGAGACAATATTTTAGTAATTCATGCTCAACAATAAGAGAATTCTATGATGATAAAGTTGAGAAAAAAAATTCAGAATTTATATCATCAAAAGCAAGATAACATTACGTGATTGAATAATTATCACGATACTAATCGAAATCATACGATCTTATCTTTTTTTTTTACGATCTGCTTATTCAATATCGTCAATAGTTCTGTTCAGAAATTAAAAGCAATGGATGAAAAACCAATAATAGCATAAATCTTAAACGAAACATTAAAATCTGTTTTTTTTTTCTTATTTTTCTTTTCCATTAAAGATTAACGAATCGTACTCATACAAAAAATATATTGAAGGACTTTCGAATATTTGGCATTTTCTAACCAAGAGATTTCCACTAAAATGGGAAAAAAGTTAAGCCAGTCGATAGAGAATTTCAAGTTCTCCTGTTGGTCTTAAAAAGATTTTATTCCTGAATTAGGTGTGTTTCCTTAATTTGAAAGAATAAATGTGAGTAAATCTTCGACAAAAATGAATACTTGACTTTTTCTGAGAAAATATAAATTCATGTTTATTACAATTGAATATTGATGTGATTGTATGCCGAAAGGTGTGAATGGCTAGTGGTGTCGGCGAGCTTTTCTTCTCGGATCACCTGGGGATTATGACTGATAGAAGCCGAAAAGTATCTACTCTTATATATTCTAAGAAAAAGAAAAAAAACAAGCGAAAATTGCTGTTGAGCGTTGACAGAAATATGAAAAAAAATGAACTCGGAATTTTCTATTTATGAAAGGCAACAACTACAAAAGCATAGTTGGTTAAAATAATTTTTTTTTTTTTTTTTGATTTTATAAATTTGTATATCTGAAATAAAAAAAAGATTTTTGTATCGATCGTATTTAGTTATTACATAATATGAAATTTTTATGTCTTATCGAAATAAAATATATTGTACAACACATGATAAATTATGCTGTTATTCTTATATTTGTTTAATATCTATTTTGAACGTACATTCCATTAGTAGAAATGTCAAATCAATACGATGATTGTCATTCATTACTTTTTGAATACAATAGTTTATGACAGATTTAATCATCCGTAGACGTTATATGCAGCGTGTATATCTTATAATGTCAGTATTCTTTTGAGAGTTGTAATCGTTTAGATGATATTCGGAAATAGATTCAACTTCAGTATGATTTCATTTAAAATTTAAAGTGAGATTTTCTAGAGCAGACTATCCATAGTTTAATTTATTCTCCAAAGTCGTCAGTATGAATAGTTTAAGCGAATGAAGAATATTCTCAAACTTGAGAGATTTTTTCAAATCCAAGTAATAAAAGCGAGCTTTAACTGAGACAGAAAATGCGGAGACTTCAATTCTGAAACCTTGGAACACATTATCATAAAAAGAAACATATATATTGATAGAGTTGGTGTCTTAATGCTATGATTTCTTTTTGGTGAAATTGTTTATTTCTATAATAAATCTTTACTTTATTTTAGGATAAATAGTGTAATGAGAATTATTATTTTTATTTTTTGTTTCTATCATTTACGACTAGAAATAGACGCGGGATCAGAACTCAAGTTTATAGTGAAATTATTCTATGGTTTTAAGCAAATTATCTTATAAATCATATCAATCAGAAAATAAATTCATAGAAATGATCCAAAAAAGTGTCAATCATCGACCAAAGAAATTAAAAAACAAAAAACGAATATTAAAGAATTATTTCAGATATGATACGAATAAATTCTGAAATAGTTTTCTCTAGACCAAGATCTGAACTAAATCTCTACTTGTGGGTGTTTATCAATAGAATTTTTTATTCATGTGATTTTTAAAGTTTTATGAAGCTGTTTCAAAGTATTGACGACATCCACAGCTTGTGTGTTGATCTATAACCGTCGTTATGAAAAGTTTCATCGCAATTCGAAATTTATTGAATGAAAACAATTGTAATTCGTAGAATAACTGAAATTCTTTGAGTGAATTCGAATGGATTGTTTAAGGGTACCCCCCCCTCTTTTTTGACACTTTCTGATTCTCGAAGACGGTACGACCGATCAAGCTCAAATTTTCAGCACAGATAGAGCATCAAAAATAACGAGATATGTGTTCGAGGAAAAAAAATTTAAACTAAGTTTTTTTGAGGTTTTCAGGAAAACTCTGGTTTTTCAGAGGTCCGCATCCTGATACATTACGACCCCCCTTAAATTTAGTCCGATTGGCCTGAAATTTTGTTTATAGATACTTAACACTATTCCTCAGAGGTAAATTTAAGGATTTCCAAAAATCTCACTTCCTTTTTTTTTTATAAGAAAAATACGCCAAGATTTGAGTTTGTGCTTCGGGTCTTGGCTTTCAGACCCCTGTAACTTCGGATAGGAATGTCAAAAATGAAAACGCTCGATTTTACCTCTGGAGAACACTTCCAAGTATTAGTGGTAAAAATTTCAGTCCGATCAGACATAATTCAAGGAGGGTCGTAATGTGTCAAGATCGAGACAATCGTGATTTTGAGATACGCTAAGAAAAAGAAAACAATTTCCTTACGATTACTATGAAAAAAAAAATTCTTTTAATTCAGTAACTCTGTAATAGTAAGGTATTTAGAGCCGCTTAATGTGTCTAATTGTACACAACACTTGAGGCTATGGTATTTTATGCTCAACTCGAAATCGAGTTTTTGATCGAAAAAGAGGAAGGGGGGGGGTAGCCTTAAGTGAACATTGTTTCCAATCTTCAATAAGTATGTAATATTAATATATTATTCATCAAAAAAACCATATGCTTCATAAAATAGCGTCCTCTATCGTGTGTTCTTATGCTCTCTTAATCTACCATTCATGTTAATCATATTTTTTTGCTTATATTTTGTATTAGAATTTGAACTTTTTATTTTAAAAATCTATTTGAGAATGTCTGTTATTGATAAGAATTATCGTGAAAAATGTTGGTTAGCACGTGATGATTATTGGAAATGTCTCGATATGAATAAAGAAGAAAAAGAACAATGTTTAAAATTTCGTCAATTATTCGAATCAAGTTGTCCAGCAACATGGGTAACACATTTTGATCAAAAACGTGAATATGATATATTTAAACGACAATTAGCACTTGGTCAAGTGGAAACAGACAAATTAAAATCTATAAAACAACAGCCAACACCTTGATTTTATTGAAGTTAATGTTGGTTTCTTTTTTTTTGTCTAGTGTTTATCTTTTTTTTTATATCTTTTCTGCCACCGATTGTTCAAGTAGTAGTTTTGTTTTTCTAAAGAAAAAATATACTGTTTAGATAAATTATAAAGCTCGTTCTTTTTTTTTTTTTTTTTTATGACAAACATGATAAAAACTTTATTTTTTAGATGAGAAAGAAAAAGACTTGTTTTGAAATGTAGGTGAAAATGAGATAAGCAAAATTTTATTATCTATGATGGAAAATTACCATTAAATGCTTATCGTCTCAAGGGAAGAATTGAAAAAAAAAATTTCTTGATTACTAATAGAACAACTAGTTCATTGGATGAAATGATATTGAAAGTATTCAGTTTTATTTTGGAGCTTTTTCTCTGTCATCATGTCAAACGTTACAGACTAAATATTTGATAAGATATTATTCTATCGCGAGTTGTTGGCACATGACTTTATATCCTCAAATTGTGAATACTGTTTTTTTCGCATATTAAATATTTTTACATGTTTCTTCACTAATAAAAAGAAGAATAAATATCCACAGTTAGCTAAATTATTTATGCTATGACAATTGAAAAGCAGAAAAATTCTATTAATCTTACCTTCTAACCTGACAAAAGACTTACTTACGAAGGAACTACCCAAGCTGATGCGGACCGTTTGAGATTGTATTCGATCTATAAGGACGCTTTGATTCTACTAGCAAAAGTTTAAGAGAGTTCGTCAAAATAAGTCAAGTTAAGATCGCTCTACTACTATCGGAATTTTAAAAGAAGACCGGTGGGAAAAAATTTTTTCAACGAAAAGCCAAAGCGACCTGCGGTTTTCACCATTTGAAAGAGCAAAGTGGGGCATGTGAACCTATGTAAAAATCGATGGGTCAATTCATAAAAGTACCTGTTACCTGGATTTTCAAATTTTTGGCACAAAATTGCAGTGAATATATCCATTTTTGATATTTAACTTCGGAATATAACTGATTCCAACATCAGATATATAGTAGACGGTGCCTCTGTATCACTCGAACTCAACAAGATAAAATGTTGAAGTTATCTTGTTTGAAAGAAAAGGATTCCTTATGAGAAAAAGGAGATTGGAAGTTTTGAAATTTGAAGCTTATTTTAGCTACTTTCGACAAATTGTTAAAAAGTGACAAACATATGCCTTGTTTAAGAGATCGACTTTTGCATAGGTTCATGTGCCCCACTTTGCTCTTTCGAATGGTGAAAACCGCAGGTCGCTTTGACTTTTTGTTCGAAAGTTATAAGCTTTTTTCCACCGGTCTTCTTTTAAAATTCCGATAGTAAATTTTCGATCAAGGTTTACATACATATTGAACAATGGAAAAGTCGAATTTCGATATGAAGTTTCAACCATAGATGATAGGTTGAATGATTGGTAGAATATGAATTTTTTTTAAATTCAATACTTCAACAAAAGAACAGTTCTTTGGGCTGAAGATTTTAGACTATTCTACCAATCATTCAATGTATACATAGCAAAATTTTACTTCGAAATTCTATTTTTATTTTAGTATATATCTAAAGCTGGGTCGAAAATCCAGTAAAACGATCTTGACTCGGCTCATGGGAATGAACCCTTTCAAAACACGGCTAGTCTCATCTAGACGTCCTTGTAAGTCTAATATGACTACAAACAACAGATATCAGTTTGAGTAGCATCATCGATAGCGTTTTGGTATATCCTAGCAAAATCTCTATCGAACAAAGATTTTTTAAGTAAGATTAAAGACTATTTGGCTGAAAACTGAAGTTTTCCTTTTTTTATGTAAATGGTTGATTTTATTAAAGTAATTGTTACAGGGTAGTATTGTTCACGTGACTTCAGAACAACACGTTCGTTTCTTGTATTATGAAATATAATCTATGAAAATACAAGCATGAATCGACCTTTGACTTTGAGACCACAAGAAAAATGTATAGTAAAAAGTACTTATGATGTGAAAAAAAGATATCAATGATGAGTGTGTAGATAGAGTGTCTATTACTACCATTGAGTACATTATTCACAACTGTTGTTATTCATAAGTCAGAATTAATTCAATGTAAAATGATGAAAAAAAAAAAACTTGTAACTTTTGAAAAGTTGAAATCTCAATAATAGGTAAGTTATTTTTGAGTGGTTAATGCAAGATCTGACTTTCTGACAATATTTTTGGATAGAAAGCAAGATTTAAAACACTATTTAATTTTTTCTAGAAGAAAATGAAATAAAAATAAACAGATTATTTCATTGAATGGTAAATAGAATTGATGGGAAGTCATCTGTTCTGGGAAGAACCGAGTGACGATGAATTTCATTTTGATTTATGTATAGTAAATTATTTAATTGCAACACTTCCTATTTTCTTTAGACAATCAGAGCATATAATTCATCAAGACGAATGCTGAAAATAAAATTATTTCCTATCAATGGATGAAGAATATCGTACTCTAAATTTCCACAACTGTCTCAGGATTTCTTGACGTGTTTACGAATTTGTAAATGAGAGAAACACATACGAAAATTCAGTGTCATTACACCTGATAAACCTATTAAATAGATGAAATCGAAATTTAATTATTGATTAAACTCAAAGAGAATAAGCAGAAAAAAAAAACACACTTCAAATAATATAATAATTTTAAAAGAGAAATATTGCTTAGAATAAGATGAACAACGAAAATTTTTGAAAATCTAAAAATCTATTCTGTTTGTTTTTATTTAATTTTTTTTTTTAATGTTTTATTTTTCAATGTTGATATCATTGCTTGAATTGTTAATATAATTGTAATCGAAGTTAAAATAAATAAAATTGTATGTTCTGTATCAGGAATAACAGCATGATCTTTAAAACGTGGTAAAATTCGATGATGATTTGCATGATATTGTTTATATTGTGCTAATTTTTCACCAGTTTCATCTATATACCACAGACCTTTTTCAAAGAAATATGGTAACCACCAAGTAAAAATTTGTCCGATAGTAAAAATAATTAAATAAGGTATATAAAGTAACATAGCCCATTTAATTCGATGATAATAAGCATAAACAGCAGCTAAATGTGGTAATGAATTTATTTGAACAAGTATAAAATAGGCATTTTGTCCGAATAATTCGCGATGATGACTGTGTGTTGTATAATTTTTTATTTCTAATTGCCATGCAAGATATTCATATAGAAATAAAATAAATTGAAAAACACACACAGTTGTGTTTGACATATTTTTTTTTTTTGTTAATTGATAATATGTAAATGTTAACTTCGGAGTATTTATAAGTAAGAAAAAACGTTTAAAATTCTGATGCAATGAAGGTATCAATGTAACTGATAAAAGCGAGTCTATAGTGTACTTTGACTTATCTTTTTTCTAAAAAGAGACATAAACATATTTGAATAGTGAACATTAGTTTATTTTATGACTTATAATAAAAGGTGACTATAACCTTAGTAGAAATTTTGTCATTCTAAAAGAACGGAATATGCGTAGTTTTATAGAGTTATACATTGTTTACTTAATCGTGTATGTACTACCAAGTTCCATTGTGTATTGTTGAGATATCATACTGTGATTGTAGCAAAGATGGCGCCTTCTATTGATACTACATACAACATTAGGTAAACGAAACCTAATTCTATAAACATATACATATGCCTTTAGGTGAATAAAAATGTGTAAATACTTTTGGTTAAGAAAAAAAAAGAATTCATTTCTATATTGTATATAGAGTGTTTCATAAGTTTTGAGATGCAACAAAATTACTATCGGCGCCAGAATTCAAGGCAGTCGGATGTTTTTTGAATAACTTTTGATAGGAACAAGATAGAGACCTGCGGTTTTCAGTGTTGGATAGCCAAGACCTAGGAGCATATTTTCATGAGCAAAAGCTGTTCTGAGAAAAAATTTGAAGATCGTTTTTTTAGAGAATTTCTGAAAAATCATGCTGGATTTCTGAAAACTGCCATAACAGTCTATTGATTTTTTTACGTATTCGGAATCCGCATCGAAAACTGAGTCGAACCACGTATGTTTCGAATCTTTTCACGAACTTTTTTTTTCGTCGAAAAATTCACCCCTGGTCCCCATGAGGGGTAGGTCAAAAATGAAGGCAACCAAAACTCCGTTTTTATTGTTTATTCATTTGCCATTTAATGTTCTACTAGCATTTTAGAAGCTCCGAACTCGATTTCCGTTGTCCAAGTGACTTTTTGACTGACTTTATTTTTTGATCTCTTCTTCAGGAGGACCACGGGTGAATTTTTCGGCGAAAGAAAAAGTTCGTGAAAAGATTCGAAACATGCATGAATCGACTCAGTTTTCGATGCTGATCCCGAATATGTAAAAAAATCAATATACTCCTATGGCAGTTTTCAGGAATCCAGCGTGGTTTTCCAAAGATCCGCTGAAAAACCAATCTTCAGATTTTTTTTTTCTCAGCAGAGGTTTTGTTCATGAAAATCTGCTCCTGGGTCTTGGCTATCAAATGCTGAAAGCCGCAGGTCTCTATCTTGTTCCTATCAAAAGTAATTCAAAAAACATCCGACTACCTTGAATTCTGGCGCCGATACTAGTTTATATACAAACAGAAAACAACTTCTAACAAAATGTTTTGATATAAACCTTGAATACTGGTGTTCAGAGATTTGACCAGGCCGATCGCTCTAAAATTCTTACCAGTATCAACTCTATCTATGGTGCGTTCGGTGTAGGTTATTGAGTTCTATCTGGATTTCGTTACGAAATTTCATCAAAAATTGAGATGGCTTTTGATCGCATTATCTTGGTTCATATGTTAAAAGTGTACTTCGTGTCTGATCGATTAATAACTAATTGAAGAGTTTTTCTTTTTCTGATGATCTATCCTTGTTTGACAATATATTTCACCAACATCTTTTATACAAATATTCAAGTTGTATATTTTAAAAAGAATTCCACGTGTTCAGAACACTTAATGCTACTCAACAATAGAAACACATCTATTTCAAATACAATTGATCGTTCTCTTTTCAATCGTGGGTTCAATTTTCTCCACATGTAGATAATCGACGGCTAGCTATACGATTTTATTGATCTGTCAATTATAGTTAATCTATTAATTTAATGAATTATATAATCAAACATTTATTAATAGTACAAAAAACATCATGAGAATAATATTCGATTGAAAATAAGGTTTTTTTGTTTTTTTATTGTTATATCAAAGTAACAATAGATTTGAAAATAATTTAAATTATATTAATGAACTTCTTTTTGTTATTCCTGGTCCAAGATAATCTCGTATAGCTTGAATACCCAGTTGACAAACATTTAATGGTGGACTCATTAAAGGATTATCATCAATATTTGATGATAATGGATAATTTGACCAATCTAAATGTTTTAATTGTCCAAAATGTATTGGTAAACGTTTAAGTTCATTTTTTCCTAACCATAATGTATGTAATTCAATTAAATCACATAAAGGATCAGGCCATTCACTTATTTTATTATTATATAACATTAATGTTCTTAAATGTTTTAATTTTGATAATGTTGGTGGTAAAATAGTAATTTGATTACAACTTAAATCAAGAAATTTCAATGATTCCATTTGACATATAACAAGTGGAAATGCTTGAAAATGATTCGATGCTAAATGTAAACTTTCTAATCGTGTTAATTTTTTATATGATAATGGTAATGTTTGTAATTTATTACATGATACAGTAAGACATTCAAGATATTTTAATTCACATATTGCATTTGGTAATGATGTTAAACCATTAACATCAAGATTAAGTACACGTAAACGATATAAACAACATATTTCACGTGGAAGACGTTCAATACGAAAATCAAGACCTGATGTACGTTCCGTTGATAAGTCAAGAATTTCTAATTCAAATAAACCAAAGATTTCTACAAAATAGAAATCAACATCATTTTATTAATAATATAAAGTTAAAAAGAAAAAAGTTTCTTAGAATTCAAAGAAGAATGAAAGTTTAGGCGACAATCTGTTTTGATCACCAAATTAATTAAGATGTGGGTCAATTAAAATGAAACAAAATGTTTCATTTTAATGATGATATATAGGGTAAGGGTGAAGAGACGATTGTAACGTTTGCCAACAACTTGTACTTTCACTAGTGCAATTCGAAACTAGAAGCACGTATCTTCCTTTATATATCAACTTGTACGTAGATCAAAAGCTGCTCTACATAATACACTATTTGCAGTTACTTTTTTTTTTGTCTTTCGACAAGACACCTCAATTTTCATTGTTCCTAAATACTCATTTTTTGCAAAATTGACACCCGCTAAGTTGAAAAAATGCTTCTAGTCTCACTTGGCTAAAAGCTACTGCTTAGTTCGATATCACACTCGCTCTGCAAAACGACCAACTCTGATCATTTTTTGTATTTTATAAGATATTCTTGAAAAAACATAGACACAATACTTCTAATATCATATTTAATATCTAGTCGCGATCTATAGCTTTGGACTTGTTGGAAATACTTTCTAGTGGATAAACTAAAACAATAGTGAATAAATGTATTCCAAAAATAATCCTCCTATGATTAGCAAGAGTAGCTAAATCGTGCTTCACATTTTAATTTCGCAAGAATTGCGCTAACAGTTTTGTTATACTTGTTATCATTTAAAATAAATTTCGTGTAAAAGAAAATCTTTACTAGAAAGTTTATATAAAAGATAAGACAAAATTGATTTGGAAATATTAACTATCAAATCCAGAAGACTAAGCACAAGTTTTTTAAAGATTCGATGAGGTATTAGAATTCAACAGAAGTCTTTATTATTATACCTCCCGGAATAGGAACAGCAGCCCGACCACTTAATTTTAATCGTCGTCCACCCCATCTTTGATCATCACTTTCAATTTGTTTTCGATATTTAGTTTTTGCACGACGAGCTTTAGCACGAAAACCAAGTGCTTTAAATTTTAAAACAGCCATAAGTACTGTTAAATTGATCGTACCACGGCGTCGAGAAAGATCAGATCGTTGCATAGTTTATAATAAAAATTATTGAAGAAAAAAAAAAAAAAAACCTTTCAATAAACAACAACTCAGTGAAATAAAAACGATCTCTTACACAACAGGAGACTTTCTATATAATACAAGAGAATATTATTTTCGAAACATTTTATATAACCTTACTTTGATGAAAAAAAAAAAAATAAGAATCTCTAAGAAAGTAATGCTATTTGAAATGTGTGCTATTCTGCTTTTTTAACTCTTCGTACCATTCTTGATATAATTTGATTGTCACTTATGTTGTGAACAAATCAATTATTCATTTTCTTATTATGAGAAAATTAAAAGAATTTTTTTTAATATATTTTTTGTTTTCGGTTGATGTTTTTTTTTTTTCTAAATCTTTTTCTTTTTTGTTTCTTCAAAGAATATAACAAAACACACTAGCTCACTTTTATCACAAAAAATAACGAATAACATGTAAAACAACGAAAAAACAGAGCACACACACATATTATATATTCGCTAATTTTTTTTTGTTTTCATTATTTTTGTGAATAATTGGCTAGTGAGTAAAATAATTCATAATTAGAATTATCTTAACGATTTGATTTAGCAACACGTTCAAGTTCATCTTTACGTTTGATAGCGAATGATGTTGATGATCCCTAAAATAAAAAAAAATTTATATAATTAAAATGAAATTCATGAAAATACATTCTTTTGTTGAAGTAGTTAATTAAACAATAATTCTAATAATTATCATTTTACGAATTAAAAAAAACAACTTCAAATTTATTATTGCACACGCCGACATTCAAAACCACATTAAATATTTTTATGGTATGACTTCTAATTGTGTGCCTTCTGACGTTTTTTATTCAAAGAAAAAAAAAACTTACTTTAGCAGCATTGATTAATTCATCGGCAAGACATTCAGCTATTGTTTTAACCGATTTAAATGCCGAATCACGTGCACCTAAAAAAAAAAAATCAAATTAGAAAAATTTTCTTCATTTTTCAATTTCAAATTTACCTGTGCAAAGTAAATAAAGTGCCTGATTAACTCGTCGTAATGGTGAAACATCAACAGCTTGTCGTCGAACTGTACCAGCACGACCAATACGTGTTGAATCTTCACGTGGTCCACTATTAATTATAGCATTAACAAGTACTTGAAGTGGATTCTAAATATACATATACAAAAGACCAACTTTTTTTTTTTATTTTGCTCAAATAATCAATTAGTTTAAATTTTTACTTCGCCAGTAAGTAAATGAATAATTTCAAATGTATGTCGAACAATTCGAACAGCCATTAATTTTTTACCATTATTACGTCCATGAAACATAAGTGAACATACAAGACGTTCAACAATTGGACATGATACCTTACGAAAACGTTTTACTTGATAACGACCAGCTGAATGTGGAAGAAATTTTGGTTGTTTTGCACCAAGAATATAATCCTAAAATATAAAAAAAAAACAGAAAAAAACAAATTATTATTTTTCTCGATTTCAACAAACTTCAAGTGACATATCCGATATTTGTACTTCAGCTCCACTCCATTTTCCAAATACACGTATATCAGTACCAACATGTCCTAATGCTGGATCATCAGTTATCATTACATCCGTCATGATGATTGATTTTTTTTTTTTTGGTTTTTTTTTACACACACGGATCTAGAAAAAAAATAGATACATATGTGTATATAGAAGATTATTTTATATCGAATATGCTATTGTGTTTTGTTTTATTTATTATTTGTATATATATGAATCGTTCGTTATAGCCATGTTACATTACATGTTTAAAAGTCCTCATATATGTTTTTGATTTATTATGATTGGTTAATCGAAACATCCAGAGAATATTAGAATTTTGTCTTTTACCTTGGATGGATGTCAGAACAGGAAGAAAAGAAGAAAAAAAAAAAAGAATCAGTGATTAATAAAATATGTTTTGTTCTTATTATTCATCTATCAATCAAGCTTAGATTTATTTCTATCGGTCGGTCAGTCGAACAGTTGAGTGTGCTGGTATTTTTTTTTTTGTTCATCTTGTGAAATCAAAGAATTCTTGAATTTTGAAAATCGTTTTTTTTTTTTTTTTCTTCTTTTTATTTTGTAAATTGATTTCTTTGTGATTTGATCGAATGAATAGAATTAGAATATTGATGAGCTTCATAGTTGCTTTATATATTGTGGTTTTGACAATCAATTCTAGAATATCTTTTATTCATAGTGGTGACATTTGAGCTGTGTTATTTAATCGAATCAATAATGTTACAAGCCATCATCACCGACATATTTCTCTCGAGAGTTAGAGGTGGAAGTGAGGGTGTATGAGGCGTTGTTGTCATGAATAGATTCAATAGGCGACAACTTTTTTTTTTTTTAATATGAGACACACGATAGATGTTTTGATTTGACTATGGACTGAATCATAAAAAGAAAAATAATTTTTACCGCTTGATGTAATCTTTATATATATGTATCGTGAGCTGATCGGTCGACAAAATGTATGAAAAGAAAAAGAGCAAAAAATGGACGTTCTGATTTGATCTTCAACACAATGTTTTTTTTGCATATACATATATATATGCAGAGTAGATGGAGGGGAAAAAAGAAAGAATTACTATTCGTTTGTCAGACGTATATGTATACATATATATATTCTAGATGTCTAATCAACAATATCAGCCTCGCGGAGCTAAAGGTAAATATTTCTATGAAAAAATAATTCTTCTATTAAATAAAATTCTTTTAGAATATGTTGTTTTAATTCCATTAGAAAAAACATCAACACTTAATATAGTTTCAATAGAAAGACGGAAGGTTGCTGACATAACCGATAAAAATATTCTTCATATTGGTAGTGGACGTAATGTAGATTTTATTATATATAAAAATTCTCAACCGGGTAAAAGATTTGATTACAACAAAAAAAAAACAAACATGATAGAATAATAAATTGAATTTATTTTAGCTCGATCAGATAATGAGCCAGTTCAATTTTCTTCACAATTTAAAGTTTTTATGACTGATAAAAAAACACAAGAATTACATCAAGAAAATCGAACATTACGTTTATGGTTTTATAGTCTTACACAAAATCAATGTCTCTATGATGCAAATGAACTTATACGTTCATTATTTAAATCTGATGAATTTCCTCGAGGTAATGAAAAAAAAAAATTTTTTTTGTTTAAATTTTATTCAAATACAAAACAAATCTTCTTTTTAGATTATTTTTCTTTTATTAAACGATTAATGGAATTATTACGAATGTTTACAAGAATTCGTAAAATCGAACTTGAAATACAAACATTAAATGAAAATAATCTTGATGTTGATCATCCAAGTATGTTTTTATTAAAAAAAAAATGTAGAATTTTTTTCTTTTTATTTAATTATTAATTTTCAGTTAAACAATATGTATCACGTTTAATGCTCTATGATACTGATTATCTTTCAGAAAGTAGTATTTTCAAATAAATGAGTGTAACTAACGTAGATGAAATAACATACAGGTTTATATTTAGTATTGAAAAAAGGGCATGGGAAGAAAAAAAAAAAATGAAAAGTTTTAAGTAGTTTTGGTATTAGTTATTTTTATTTTAATCTTAGTTGAACAAAATCTAATAAGAACATAAACATCATAATAGGTCTTTTTTTTCTCTCTATTTAGTGTACGAAAAAAATCCTGAAAGATATGCTGATTTGATTAAGGAAAAATTATTGGATTTACTTGAACAAGCATTTCCAAATCCTATGTTTGTCAATGATTTGGCTAAGTAAATTGATCTAATTCATCTTATTATCATGAAAAAACAAATTTTCTGTTTTTTTTTTCGCTATCTAATAAAGATATGTGGAATGTGATGGTCAAACAGTTTTTCAATATCTTGTTGAACTCGAAGATAAAAATTTAGTTAAACATCTTGATCAAGATGGTCAACAATGGACACGTGTAATAATAGCTGCTCAAGAAGAAGATACTCATAGTCAGTTGAAATAAATGATTTATTCTTCATATATTTTTATTTTTTTCAGAAGTTATTCTCTATAAATCAATTTCCGAATTATCAAGTTCATTTCAACCAACAATTGCAATAATTACTGTAAATTATTTTGAAAAATTAGCCGTTGATGCTATGATTGAAAATAAAGTAACATTTGTTCGACATAAAGCAGGTAATATAAAAAACATATTATAATTATTTAATCAATAAAAACAAAAAAATTTATCAAGGTGAATCAAATGTTTATACAATTGGTACAATTGGTCCACATCATGTTGTATCAACGAAATTACCATTGATTGGTCGAAGTCGTACAGCACAAATTTCAACAGGAAGTACAACAACTCGATTATTAGGTACATTTCAACATGTACAACATGTTTTTATTATTGGATGTGCCGGTGGTGTACCACATTATACTGATGCAACAAAACATGTTCGACGTGGTGATATTATTGTTGGATATCCTAATGAAGAAGATTATGTCTATGGTAATTTGTTTACTATTGAATTTATTTAATTAGAGACAAAAAAAAAAAGATACTAGTGAGGCATAGATGTACCATTCTCATATTTCCTATTTAGATAAAGGTTTATTATGTAATCACTTGTTAAAAAAAATACATGGATCAATAGTTGTTTTAACTTTTCTTTTTCTTTTTTCCTCAGTTCTTAGATAAATATTCAATATGTTGTTTGTTATTTGCGTAAGCATACTTATGATTGGCTATATTTAACTATCATGTCTATTGTTAAATAGCAATCATGAATAGAATAGATTATATAATTTTAAAGATGAATGAATTGACCATATTGTAAGAAAAATCTATTGAATAATTTCACTCTCTTAATTATAGCTTAGAAAGTGAATCATAGAAGAAAATCAATAGGATATGAGTGTGAGTTGGTATCCTATATAGGTGCAACTATTCATAATCAGACGTGGACTGGTACTTTTTTTAATACTTAGAATCGGATAACTGTACTCGGTACCTGATTGAAGCTATTCGACAGATACTTTCATAGTCATATTATAGTTTTCAAGCTTTTATTTTACTTAAAAAAGTACGATATTTAATTTCTTCTATTAACAGCAATAAAAAATATATAGATCATCTCGAATTCCATCAAAAAAGCAAGCGATACAGGATTGATTTGATATCTTTCTGCTTCTAAATTCCTTACGTATTACTGATAACATTGTGTTAGTACCAAACATCATAATTACGGATATATACATGAATACTTTTCCTATTAAGATAACACATGTTCATAAATTCATTTTCCTTTCCTTGTATTCAGTTACTGCGTCTTCTTTTAGTAAAACAAATACTATCTTTCAATTCGAATAATATAAAAAATTGAAATAAAAATTTTTGATATTAATTTAGGTATTTATGAAGCTGAACAATCATCCGAAGGATATGAATTTGTTTCAACATGTTATAAACCAAAAAGTTTTCAACTTTATCAATTAATGGAACCAATTAAAGAAAATTATCAACAAACATATTTAAATCGATCATTAACACATAAATATCCATGGGAAAAATTTCTTGAAGAAGGTATACAATATTTACTTTCACATAATATTGATTGTTTACCACCAAATAATGATCGTCTTTATATTAAAATGGAAAATGGTGAAATTGTTGAAGTTAAACATCCAGATCAAAGAAAAAAAGATTATCATCGACCAGCAATACGTTTTGGTATGATAGCTGGTGGAAAAAATATTTTAACCAATGATTATTTAAAATCAACATTATGTGATAGATGTAATGTTTTATGTTTTGATTCGGAAATTGATCAAGTCATTGCAGCTATACAAGGAAATCGTACAGAATCATTTATGATTATACGTGGAATATCTGATTATCATGATGGAACTTTAAACAAAGAATGGCAACCATTTTCATCATTATGTGCAGCTGCTTTTATGAAAACAATTATTTATAAAATACCAAAACCGTCCAGAAAAAATCCAAATTCACATTCGAATAGCGAACATGATGATGATATACTTTAAATATAATGCGAATATAGAATTCTTAAGATATATATATATATAAATATTCCTTTTTTATATATTGCGTTCTTTTTTCTTCAAAACTCTGAATAATAATATTAATATATTTCTAGATGACATGGATTCATATGGACATGACAGTAGACGACGTCTATCAATTACTTTGGACGCTGGCTACGTTTCAGTTTCATCAATTAATATATATCAATCATCACAAACACTTGGTTTACATGGAAAAAAATTAATATGTGTTATTTTTACAATTATTAGTCTTTTCTTAATTAGTTTTATTAATTTAATTGTAAGTTTAGTATTATCGATTATTACAATCGTTAAAATAGAATCATAAACTCTCATGTGAAGATTACTGCATAAATCAGGCAAATTAAAATTGTTTGATATAGGATTTTTATTGATGATGAAGGCAGTATGGAATTGCACAATGACAAGTTTAACATCATCAGGTTTATTTTCTATTTTGAGATATTCTCGTATGAAGATCGATCAAGTCCTGATTAGTTCTTTCAATCACAGTTCAACATGCTCTATTTGTGATTCAACTGTGAGATTAAATGGTTGAAGTTTAAGTACTTTTTTATGACCACTATACTGTGAATCGTTTGAGCACTATTGCTCGACTAGAAATAGTCAGAGATTTCTAAATTTATATGACCATTGTTATTAGCAAATGCTGATTATTTAACAAGTTTAAGCTTCTTTTCCTAGATGATTCGAGAGATTTAAACGATTCATTTCTTATACTATAAACTGCACATAACTCGTGACCCAAGATATAAACTAACTTCTGCTAATGTCACACCTAATGCAATGTGAGAAGGCCTTAAATTAACAATAAAATTATCGTTGAAAGTCTATTTTTAGTAAAATAACATCGACGAGAAAATTATAATAATGCTATATGTTGAGATAACCTGATTAATAAACCTTACGAAGATAATAATCAAAATGAAATAATAGCTCTCACAATTGAATTACAATTTGATGAATAATGTATGAACTTGCCTAGTTTTTGTTATTTTTCTTTTAATTAATAAGTGATGACAAAGTATTTGAAAGAATGTCAAAATCTATTTTTCAACAATGTGTAACATCGGAGTAACTTTGATATTTTTTTTTTGTTTGAAAGAACAAAATTTATAGAGTATATACATGAAGTAAAACAAAGTTTATTTAATATCGTTTTCGCAGGATACTACTACTAGATTATCCCTAAAATATCTTTTGATTATTTACCCGAAGTATGAAGATTAAATTCTATACGGTTTGAAAAATTCATTGAAAATGAACACTCGCTATTGAAACATACATTAGAAGATTAACCCTTTGGGCCCGGGCGACGCACATATGCGTCCTGGGATTTTACGCACTGAATACCTTTAAAAAACATGGTTGTTTTAGTTATTTAGTAGTAAAAATTGTATGAATATTTGTATTTAGGATACCTGTGCGGTTAAAGTTATCTATAATTACTGATAATTATGGGTTCTCCCTTAATAGTTCAGGTAATCAGCATATTATTTAATGAATTCGCAGATGGATCGGGTTCGTAANAATAACTAAAACAACCATGTTTTTTAAAGGTATTCAGTGCGTAAAATCCCAGGACGCATATGTGCGTCGCCCGGACCCAAAGGGTTAAAATGTATTCGTTCGTCTCAAATTGTAAAAAGAACTTCACTTATTATGACGACAAATGAATATACTTGATTCTATGCTTGGTTGTACTCATCTCAATGGAGAAAAAGCGGAGAATCTATACTTTGCCGTTTACTGAGAATATTTGACAGTTAATCCTTGAAATTTTTCTAGTATTTGAAATCTGCTATCAACATGTGTGAAAAACATGTTGGTTTAAGTTTAGCCATCAAATTTCATTAATTTATTAACAGAAAAAAGTTTTGCTAAAACGATGATGACAAATCCTTATTCTTGAAACAAGGTTTTTGCAATAAATGATTCTCAAGTATACTGTTCTTCAGGATAAACTTTTCATGCACATAAATATTCTTTTAGATCATTTCGAAAATGATGATTATGACTACGCTCAACAATAAATTCTTCACCTTGATCAACACTAAACTTTTTTTTTTCCATATCCGTATCATCCATTATATATGTATATATGTAATTATATTCTTTTTTTTTTCTATTTTGTTAATGTTAAAGGTCATCAATTATTAAGGTGTATGTTTATTTCAATTTGTTTTGAACTTGTTTTACTGCAGGTTCAGAATACACGCTTAGTAATAATAATAAACAAACAAACAGAGCAAAATTACACAGAAACTACTCTATAATGAGAATAGAAAAGAGCAGAGAAACAGAAAGGTATATAAGAAAATAATATATGTATATTATCTTGTCTGTTAGCATGAACCACAATAGTAATAGAAATGAGAAACTTTTTAGAAAAAACAGGAAATAGATGTGATGAAGTTTATGACAGAAGAGCGGTTCTTTGTGAATGACATTTCTCTATCATCATATTTTAATCCGAAAAAGAAACAGTGCCATTGGCTACATATATATAAATATATGTCCAGTATGCTCAAAGACGGGTAAATAGCGAAAAGAGCAGGAAAAAGTTTTGCAGAAGATGGGATGGATGTAAGTGTGAATTTCGGTGTAGGTATGAAGGATAGAGAGAAGTGTCACACATTTACTACTATTATTTTTCTCTTTAAAATGAGAATTTCAAAATTTTCATTGATAAGTATCGGAAAATAAGGTACTTCTCCTTCGGATATACTTCTCGAAATAATAAAATAATGCTATTGATAAATATAAAATATTTAATAATCATTTGATATCACACAAAACATTAATACTTCATTTTTGAATCGAATAGAAATTTCAATTGAATATAAATATGCTTTAAACAACTAAGAATTTCATTCTTTACAATGACTATCACATCAAATTTTTTTTGATCTATATCACGCATAATATCATTGGATGATCTTTATTCAAAATGATTTATTTTCTATTTAAAATCTAACAAATTCTTTATAATTTATTTAATGGTTTATTTTTAAAAATAATATTTCCAACATAAATAGCACCATATTTAGTCAAATGTCTTCCATCATATGTTATTAATTTTCCATCACGAGTAAAAATAGGACATGTCCGATTATATCCAGTACAGATCATTTTTAGTATATTGACAAATATGAATTCATCTATTGTTTTTTCTAATAAATTATTAATTTCGATCACTTCTTTACTCGGATATTGATATTGTTTAAGACGATATTCAGTTGATTTATTAACATATAATTTTAGATTAACATTACCAAAATGTTTTCGTCCAATAACAAATATTTGTTGCTGTTTTGTTAAATTTAATAATTTTAATGTCATTGGTAATCGTTTAGCACTCCATTCAAACCATTTACCAGATAAAATAATAATATCGGCTTGCCGAATAAGAGGTAAAGCATATTTAATATCATTACGATTTTCACATGTTTGTTGATCGATTGCATTAATAAATTGTTTTCGATCTTCTGGACCTATATACATTTGACAACGTCCATGAACAAAAAATACACGAATTTCATAATTGGTTAAATGTTTTCCTTCAATAATTATATTATAAAAATCTTGTGCAAAACTATCACCAATTAGTATCAGTTTTTTATTTATTGTTGATGTTTGAGTTGAAAATGTATTTGTCTTTTGTCTTAAAGCATCAAATGCTCCTTCAACATATCCTCCATGACCATATTTTGCTAAATCAGATAGATAAGAATCAGCTGCTTTGTTCAGTAGTAATGTTCGATTAGTTGCAGTTTGAATAAGAAATAATGCAAGAATAAATGTCATTACAGCAGTTATACACGAAGCAGAAAATATTTGTTTTCGAGAAAAATTGTTTTTATTACGAAATGGTTTTTCAATAAAAACATAACTAAAAGTACTAAGTGGAAAGACAATACTGACTATCATCAACATAGGTAATATTTCTGGTGTATTTGTAGCTCGTATGCGAACAAAAGCCAGTAAAGGTTGATGCCAAAGATAGACACTATAAGAAATAAGACCTATCCAACGTAATGGACGTATAGAAAGTAATCGTCCAACTAATGTATCGTCTTGTCCGAATAAAATAATCAATGTTGCACCCACTGTAGGTATAAGAGTATAAGAATTTGGAAATGGAGGCACATTTCTATTATCAAAAAACACAATTGATATCACAATCAGTACAAGTCCAATAAAGGCAAAGAATTGATTGTATATATTGGATGAGACCACACTAAATATCGAAAAATATTTTATATATTTAATTTTGGATGTATCCATTACAGGAAGAAAAACATATGAACACGTAGTTCACTATTTACTTTGTCTTTAGATCTATTAAATTATGAAATAAACAATAAATTTTCTGATATAATTCTAAAAGATAATCTCAACATTTTTAGAAAAATTTTGGACAATACTAAATTCTATTTTTGCTCAATCTTTCTGTCAATTAATACAAGTGTTCAAAGTAAAAGACTCAACACTTTATTAGATTGAATTAAGTTCTAATGTCCTATCAAATCCAGGGGCGGCGCGAGCGGAAGGGATTGGGAGTACCCCTCCCCTGCTTCGACATCTTCGCACTGCCCCTGATCAAATCAATTCAAGAAAGTTTTCTTCAGAGTAACTTACTATTAAATAAAAATTCATTGGATCGATAAATCTATTTTTCAAAAATAATAATGAAAAGGAAATAGAAACCTATATATCTTATTGAAAAAAAAAACAAATTTGAGATAGTACGTCATTTGTAGAATAAATCTTTCTCTACAAACTGGTACAAAATTAAAGCATTGAACATCTATTTTTGAATGCCAATATCACAAAAAATAAAAATCAAATTTCGAAAACCATATTCGAACAGAACAAGCAATCCTAGTTGAAATATATTCTCATTTAATTCTTTAAGACATCAATGTGATTAAGTGAACTATTGTTCACATTGTGTCAAAATTTTTATGATAATCTTACATGCTAGATCTTGATGGTAATATTTTCTCTTCAGAAAAAATTCATTATAATGAGTTTTATCAAAAATTTCAATAAGGAGATTGTCTTTTCTATTTGAATAAATTAAAAACACAACTATATTTTCATGATTATTTTCTGCTTTTTATAGACATATAATTAAATCAGCTTATTGAAATAAATTCAGCTTTGTATTTGGCCTGTTTCAGTTTAACCTATTGGCATCAAAAGAAAAAGGATAATTAGTATAAAAATTGTAACATTCTTTTTTGCAACTGAATTGAATAAGATACATAAATGTTTATATCGAATATACCTGACTGATCTTTTGAGTTTTAAGTAGAAAGCAGCAAAAGAACCGAGTAATAACTCCCATGCTCGTCCTATAGGTAAGTAAAATGATGCCCATGAATGTTGAGAAAACATATGAAAATGATGATTAGAAGTTGATTGAAAATTTCCACCCCATTGAGCAAGAAAAAAACTAAACAAAGTCAAAAATATCAGTAAAATAATAAGACAATGTTTTTTCTTTCCAGAAAAATAACATATTAATGGAAATACAAAATAAAATTGTTCTTCGACAGCTAAACTCCATGTATGAATAAAAGGATTTAATTCAGTTAATTGTGTAAAATAACCATCATCTTTCCACCAAAAGAATATATTTGAAGAAAGAGCAACAATAGAAATTAAAGTTTGTCCACATTCTTTCAATTGATCAGGTAACATCCAATGATAAGCAAAAATACTACTAATAAATAAAATGAAAAAAAGTGCTGGAAGAATCCGACGACATCGTCGTTCATAAAAATGAACAAGTGAAAATTTGTCTTCTTCACGTTCATTTTCAATGACAGATGTAATTAGATAACCACTGATAACAAAGAATATATCAACACCAATATAACCTCCAGCAAAATATGAAGTACAGCCAGTATGATATAAAACAACTGGAATAACAGCAACTGCTCGTAGCCCATCAATTTCATTTCGATAAAATGACATTACGATGAACGAAAAATATCAGAAATTAATATCTTAGTCAAATGTATAGTTAATTTTACCTATAAAAGAATAAACAAATAACTTATTTATTTAATGAATAGTGTAATGAAAAAATAAAAATAAAATTTTCCATGAGATTACATGTTACTTATCGAAATTCATTTTTCTGTTGGGTTTAAAAAATTGTTCTACCAGTAGTGCATAGTTTATGATGCTCAATAAGGATTTTTAGTTTATATAACTGTCATTCCACTTTCCAGTTAGTAGAGCCCATCGGGTGCACACCGAAAAAAATTGTTCATGTGTATAATGGTATTTTATTCAATCGATAAATTTTTTCTTATTCTTTAGGAAAAATTCGTACTATGTTTTTATTTTTGCATGAATATGATTCAATACAAAAGTACAAAACTATTGATAATAGAAATAGTTGTTGTTTATCAGGAACTATTACATAGGAGTAAGAATTAATTGTAAATTAATTAATATGGGATCACCATCAAATCGTTTAAAAACTACGTAAAGTTTACTTTGGCATGTCATTTTCCTGTCAATTAAGAATAAATATAAATTGCCGATAACTTAGTATATGTATATGAATTAAGTTGAAAGAAAATATGAATTGAGAACCCTAAGTAAAAAACAAATCAACAATCTCTGGGGTCTGGGATGGGATAATCAAAATTGAATCAGAAAGTTTTATTGAGATGTTTGAGATTACGGATCGAGTCCGGAATCCACAAAAAAAAAAATAATCAAGTTCGGGTCCAGAAATATTAAATTGTTCTGATTCAGGTATATAAATTGTTCAATCTAATGAGTTTTACTAGTCAGACAAGATTCTTTAAGAACGACTTAAAATTTTGTTAAAACATCATTTTAAGGCTCAGATATCGTAAAAGTATTATGTTGACGATTTATTTTACGCTTTAGAAAGCGCTATAGATTTGTAAACACGTTCCAACGTGTAATATTTTTCTAGGTTTACCCGTTTTTACTCTTTTCCAGCGTAACCTTCACCAGTTTTGATGCGCTCACAGGTTAGTGTGTGTATTAATCTCCGGAAGATCAACGAAATAAACATTGTTACGCGAAATTTTCTGAGTGAATATCATTATGTTCAATATTCACTCGTTATTTCTCGCGTATTTTAATGCAATCCAAAGCGTTTAAACGAATTCGTCTCTTGAGATTAGTTGAAATGTAGAGTATCTAGTTGATGTATTTGACGGCCGAGTTTTCATGGAGCTATTTAAGTTGTTGGTTTCTCATTTCGGCACAAATAAGTAACGAAAGTTATAGATAATTATCTGACTAAAAAATGACGAAGAATAAATCTAGAATATTATATATTAGTGTTAAATATTTTTAAAAGAGAACAATATGCGTAACAATAAAAGAACGAAAAAATGTGGGTGGGTGTTCGTGTGGTGTGGGTTCATAGAATAGAAAGATGCATACCCACATCCCACACTCACACCCTCTTTTACGTTTGTTTTGTAAATATTTGATTCGAGATGACTCCATAGATAAAAGTGGAATAGTGTCAGGTCTGATGATTGAGGAATTCATCATATTGAAAAATCTCTTCCAATCCACCTATCATTGAAGCTTTTGTTTCTTCTGTGAAATCAGATACAAGGGATTCTGAAGCGTTTTAAAAGAATTATCTTGAGTTAGTGTTTCATCATCGATGACAGGTGGATTGGATGAGACGACTCCATATGGTGGATCCTCAATCACCAGACTTGACATCATTGGATTTTTATCTATGTAGCCACCTTGAACCCAATGTTTACAAAAAAAAACGCGAAAGATCTCTATAATTTAAACACTCGGATAACAAAAGAAATAGATATAATAAAGAAAAAGTCTCATAATGTTGTTTTTGAAAATTGTAAAACATCTACATTTTTGCTGTTGAAGGCAAAGGTCATAATTTTGAAGGTTATTTAGGAACTTTGTCTTTATGAAAAATACTTACTGATCTTCTCTGCTAAATAACGAGAATTATTACATTAGGTTTGATTCATAATGAAATTATAAATAATTCTAAAGTGATCACGAATTTTGGGACAGCCTGTAATTTTATGCTAATCCTCTTCATGTACATCTCCAATTATCTTTCTCGGATTTTCTCAAGTTTATCTATTTCTAACATGAGTTGTTGATCTCTTGTGAAAATAAGCATAATTAATCAGAAATCATGTCTTTGGCTTCAAATTTTGCTTATGTTTGATAAAAAGTGACTTCTGGATTAGAAGCAGAAGTAAAATGCGATCTAATCCTATTGTTTTTTAGTTCGGCCAGGAAAATGATAGGCTTTTGACCATTTTATACAATATTATTGAAAAGCAGCTTTATCAATCAGAATTTTGAATTTATTGAACTTGAAATTATGCTTTTCTGGAGTTTACTTCCAAAACTAGTTTGAAAAACATCTTTTTTCAGTAAGGTTAAAGTCCCAGCGGAACTTTCATCCTGAAATTTCTTCAGAAAAGTTCTTAATACGCGTCTAATACAGATTTGTATGGTTGAACTTTTAGAAATAAGCTTCTTTTGAAAAGGAAAAAAATTAAAATAGTTATAGAAAAAATACGAAGATCACCATTTCTTGCTGCATTTGTTACTTGGCAATCTTTAATGATTGTCGCATGAGACAGATCGGTTAGTAAATGATACATAGTTCAGAAACAAAAATGAAACACTAAAATTCTATTTTCTGAAACAACATACACATGAAAACGCTAGAGCAGCAGAAAATCCATAAAAGCTTCTAGCAAGAGATTCAAACCGCCTAATGACATTCATATCACTCCACGATTGATTTTACAATACAGTTACAACCTTTCAATAAGGTTAAATTGGCTCGATTTTATTTGTTTAAGTGCTATTGTTCATCAGACCTCGTTTTACTCGTGCTAACTTCGAAAAGATTCTCATCTAGAAAGACAAACATGTCAATCTATGAAATTCAGTCTAATGCTGTGCTCACTCTTTGAGCAATACTGATACATACGAACGAATCAGGTGTATTTTTGTGGAAAAACATGTTATCTTTGAATTGATTTCGTTGAAATCCTAAAAACTTTTCTCACTGCTTCTACATAAATAAAAATATTTTATTTGGAGTTCTTAAATTTGCTCGTATGTTAGCTTCCTAAGAGTAAAAATTGTGTATTTCACCATTATAACTCTGCTTCAAGTGTAAACAGTGTAAACGTGATTGCGTTTGACTTGCTAAAGCTAAGGTCACCACAATTCAAAACTTCAGCAAAATTGTTTTGATTTCATTGGATAGAACTCATCAAGAAACACAGTAAAAGCTATGTTTTACATTTTTCAAAAGTTTCTTTCATAAAAAGAAATTGTAAATACTGCCATATATCAAGATGATAAAAAGTGAGCCCAGATACTGACCCATGTGACCTATTTTTTCTTCTTCAATAAATTACATTGTTTAATCGAATATTTTTCTCTCTCTCATCTAGTTTTGAACTTGAAAAAATAATAAAAACTTTGGTATATATACCAAAGTTTCTATTATTTTTTCAAGTTCAAAACTAGATGAGAGAGAGAAAAATATTCGATTAAAAAATGTAATTTATTGAAGAAGAAAAAAATAGGTCACATGGGTCAGTATCTGGGCTCATTTTTTCTCACCTTGATATATACCCCTAGAAAAAAAATTGTAATCGATTTTTTAAACATACCGTTGCTATAAAAAGGCATTTACAAAGAAATAATTATAGATTATGAAAGCTCTTGGAGTTTTCTACCACCCTGCGTATTTATGTTTTAAATCAAATGTGTTTGCAGGAAAATAAATTGACTTCAATGAAAGTACCCTCATCATCAGATTCTTCGTGAACTGGATTTTGCTGCCGTCTTCTCAATTATCTATTAAAACTTTTCACCACTATGAAAATAGTTTTTTTTTAAAGTAGTTATATATTCTGGTGGCGCTTGAAATTCTCTGTTATGCTAGACTTCTAAAATTAAAAACGAAAGAGATAGGAAAAATTCAATTTTTTAAACTTTGTGAAAGGATGTCTTTGTAATAATCGGATTATTCTTCAGTAAATAAGCGGAAGACAATCCATAGGTATACAGGATGATAGAGACTTTCCAGCTCTATCAGAATATATAAGTACTTTTTTTAAAAACTATTTTCATGGGGATGCAAAGTTTGAATACTAATTGAGAAGACGACAGCAAAATCCAATCCGTGAGGAATTTGATGATGAGGGTACCAGTATCCGCCTCGGGTCAAGTGAGACCTCGGGCTCGATCGGATCACTAACAGTTCACCGATATCAAACTTTTTATAAGACAAACGGCAATTTCAGATGAGATAATGGTTTCTTCGTTTCGAATATTGAGAGAGGTGATATAGATACACTGAAAAGATTGTTAACCTGTGAAAAAAACTCGTTTTTCTTGACAAAAAATATCTTCGACCTCGGATCGGGTTGGGTTGAATCATACTTGGATCGGACCGGATCAGACCAATAAAAAAACTCTTGACCTCGGGTCGGGTCACAAAAAATTGACCCATGTCGGACACTGGAGGGGACTTTCATTGAACTCAATTTATTTTCTTACAAATACATTTGATTTAAAACATAAATATATAGGATGATAGAGAACTCCAAGAGCTTTCAGAATCTATAATTACTTCTTTTTAAATGCCTTTTTATAGTAACGATATGTTCAAAAACATCGACTACAACTATTTTTTTTCAGGGTTATATAACAGTATTTACAATTTTTTTTTCATGAAAGAAATTTCTGAAAAAATCGGAAACATTTTGCTGAAGTTTTGAATTGTGACGACCTTACATCTATCTAGACTATCGATTGGATATACTAAGCGTTTTCAATCGGAGCTTTCTTAAAATTACTGTCTGATGGTTAAAATGTCTTCTTTCCATATTCCGGCGTGTTTTGTTGTTAGTAGTTACTCTTAAATTCCAACTTTGCTTGTATCGTTAGTTTAATAATGTTGAAATAAAAAAATACTTACATATCAAGTGATACTGGTGTATATAAGTTTTGTTTTGTATGTTTGTAACTAGTTTTGCTTGGTATGCATTGTTTACGAAATTACGTGATTTTTTTTCCAGTTTATGCATGCTTACATGAATCAATCAACCATGAAATTTCCATTAATTAGGTGTTTTTTTTTCTTCACGATGAGCTCGTCATCGCGTGTATTTTTTTCTTTCTATATTCTTTCTCTCTTTTTTGCCTTTCTTCCCGTTTCTAGTTGCTACAAGAAAAAAAATGCATTCATATTTGCATGCAATAACGCATCACACTCGATTGTCGAAATTTCTATCTCATTAGTAAACGAAGTAATAGCGTATTGATCTCCAATATGAGAAATGCCAGTAGTATGCTGTTTTGCATCGCATTTCTGCATGAGCATGGCTCTTTCTATCGACTACACAAAAATTTATCTTCTTAGAAGACTCGATCGATGAAATATTATTTTGTAATTCAATGACAGATGATCATTACTGTAAGCAGCTTCCAGCTAGGTACGAAAATCATGGGCAAGATCATAGCTATTGTCATAAGCAAGTGTCAAATGAATAAGGTGCTTTGTTATTTTTTAGAACGTTTTTAGTCGAAGTTGATTAGTTAATCGAACGATGGATTTCAAATGCATCGTATCTAACTAGAATTTGTAAAATAACACAACGACTCTAAGCGTTTTGAACCGACTGCAACTAGTAACTATGAAAAGCCAAAGACAGTTCGTCGCTTGACAGATTGTGTGTAGCTACGGCATTGACTGTTACTGTATGTGAATGTAGATGTGAGTATAAATGTGACTGCTTGAATACTAGTGTCTTCTCCTGAACTACAGCAATGTTCAAATCCAAAACTCAACGACAACAAGAAATGCAACAAAATAAAAATATAAGGGCAAAGATGATAATGTTGCGATCATATTACCCCAAATGTCTGTAAGAGCAAGTAACTTTTGATAAAAAAATCATGCTAACATACTGGCAGTGATTCATACTTCGCCCTTATTGATAATTAGTTGAAAAGACCAAATATTATTTAAATATTACTGATTTGTTGAATTCTTCTAGTTTGTGCTAATATTCAAGAATAAATGCTTTATATTACACATGCAACTTGACTTCTTTAAATTGAATAGAATCAATCGAATTCTGTTCTATTTTCTTACATTCTATGATAGTTTGAAGTTATTGATTTTAAAATCCTATAAGGATCTTGAATTCTTCGAATATTTGTTTTTGAATTGTCGATTTCTAAATCTTGGATGTATTGCTATATACTTTTGTATATCTTGAAAATAATTCAACAAAAAAAATATAATATTATTCATCGCCACAGATCATAAGGCAAAGATATGAGAACAATCAAATTTAAAAAAAATGATTTATTTTTATTCAGCAGAATGAATATTAATTTTTCTACTGAGTTATCTCACATATGAATCCAGTAAAAAAAAAAGAAATGATCAGTACACATCTAAAATTAGTTTATTAAATTTCACTTTCACCTATACAAAAAAAAATGCTTCTAATATTAGCAGAAGAGAAATGACGCGAACAGTGTAAATATACTACCATTCTCATTCTAGCTTAAGTAATTGTTTCTTGTATTTATTTTTTTTTTTCTATATCGATGGACAACGTAGATCAACTTATCTCAAGAAATATATGAACGACAGAATTCATCTTGTTCTTCAATAATAAAAATAAAAACACAAGAGTATCATTCAAGTATACTCTTGGTGTCTTTAGAAATACAGAAACTTGCCACGTGAAAAAATAATTTTTTAATAACGTTTGCATTGATTAATAACCGCATGATTATATCGAATTTTTTTTACTAAAACTGCAAATATGAAAAGACAGGGAGGCACTACCAGATATGTGTATTGAGAACGAAGAAAAAAAACATTTAATTAATACGCTTCTATCATCATTGCCATCTTTTTTTATTCGTATCTGTAAACGCAGTGCGTGAAGGCACTGTGCAGATTGAATATGTAAATAAATGTATGGTGGCGAAAAAAAAGTAAAACTACTTTTTTTTTCAATTACTGTCTCCTTGATTGCATCTTATCAAGAGAGTCTTTTTTCGCTTTGTGTCTCTCTGTTTTATAATGAGCTGACAAGTTTCAATAAGAATGCGTTAAAATCAATCCAATACTATTCATTGAAGGTCAAGAATTTTTATTTCCGCATTTCAAGAATCAGTTCTCAAGGACTTATAATCTCTATTTATCTGACAAGAACATTTTAAAATTTCTCATGCTACGTGAAGAGATGAAAATGAATATAAAGATATTCGAAGAGGTTTTCGAAAGTTTTCTTAGTTTTGAAACTGTTTACAATGAAAATTGAAGACAATGTTGATGAAGAATAGATCGCTAAGAAAATGGGAAAAAATATTCATGAAACTTAAACGAGACAGAGAAATTTGTAAGTTTCGTACTTGGATTTTGGTGGAAGACTACATTGATGACGATGCACTTGATTTGCTGACATTTCTAGATGAGCATGATAGGCAGGCTCCTATATTTCGCTCGACTTATGCTACCACTAGGGAATGTTTGTAGAACCAGATCCAGCAGGAAGCTCAGAGACGATCAGTGTCTACTAATAGGTCAACAGAAACTTAAGCAAAAATGTCGATGATTCTTCAGAAATCCACGAAAAGAAAGTCATGAACGACCAGTAATTCATCAATTTTGATAAAGATTCTAAGACAATAGAAAATTCTCATGGTATTTTCAACAGAAATTTTCATTACAGGCAACAATGCTGACTAGAGACCTGCGGAGTCAATTTTTTTCATTCCGAAACCCGACTCCGACTCCGAAAAATTTCTTTCTTCCGACTCCGACTCCGATTCCGAAATCTTTCTTTTTATAACTCCGATTCCAACTCCGAAAAACTCCGAAATTTTTTAACAATGTCATTTAAAAATGAAACGTTCTCAGCAGCCAAAGGACTCTTTAATGACTTAACATGCGCACGTTTTACACTAAAAATCTCAAGTTTCTCTTTAAAAAAAAACAGTTTATGGATGTTATACACTTNTTATAGCAACCCACACCCACCCAGTCATACCGACTAGTATTCGAATTATGTCCATATCAGAACACGAATGTTAAAGTATTAGCTACGATGGTTCTAAATCTTTGTTCTATCCTCTAATTGTTTTAACCAACATATATTCAACAATAATGACGAATATCATCAGATCATCTATGTTGCCTTTGACAATGATAAATTCATTTTTCTCTGCGTTGCCTTTTATATGTAGAATAGAAAGGACATTGTTCTTAAAAACAATCCATTTTTATAAACTATCTAATAGATATCAACTTTTCAACTAAAGAATATCGAGTATAATGAACAATAATATTTTTCTCAAATTAAATACGATACATTGGTCTCGCTACAATGTTATAGTCAAATTTCTCATGAATGGAAAAAGTATGGTTTTCATTTTAAATCTCACCACTTATGTTAATATCTAGTAGATGTTGTATTTACTAGCTTTACTATTGAATGTACATATTCGATTGATTTATGTAAGAAAAATATCAATCGAAAGATACAAGTTCTGTAGTAGAAGACTTTGAATTATTTTCTCAAGATACACAAATCGATCTCATCATAATTAAGATAATGCTGACGTAGTGAATTTCAAGTCAACATTATAAGTGTTAAAATAGTTAGAAATAGAAAAGGCATTTTTTCAAATATTACTTGAAGTNTACTAGATATTAACATAAGTGGTGAGATTTAAAATGAAAACCATACTTTTTCCATTCATGAGAAATTTGAGAAAGAAGAAATATTTATGGAATAATAATCGAAACTAAATTAAAAATTACACTGGATACTCATTCCTTGTACGCAATTTTATAATTATCTTTTAAGTAAACGAGATCTTTTGAAATCGATGCCTCTCTCTGTATTGGAAGAATCCGGTTGCTCTATTATACACAAGTACACAAAGTTTCTACAGAGATCTTCAATCGTATTCCATCTTTCTTTATAATTTTTAATTGTGTAGTCTGAAGATATAAGATATTTTCTCCCATTTTTTTTTGCATTTCTCATACAATTAGTTTCCGACCAATCCAAAGGATTCAGACCACGAATAGTTTAGTAAATTGGTTATTTATTTATTTCTGTTCTAATTTATTCTACTTAATGAGTTTTCTTTCGTCTTCTATTTTTTTTTTACATTCTAATAATTGCTTATAGAGTAACTCTTTAAAACTACTTTTGACAACTATCATCCTACACGAGAGACAAGTTGGACCTTATCTCGAAATTCAAAGAAAAATCTACTCATTTTTCTCCTGATTTTGGTAAGCGCTTGATCATAATAAGAAACAATTTGTTGAAATAATATCCATTGAGTCTTCGAACATGCATGTCTATCGAGATTTTTTTTTGCATTGCTCTATTGTCCAATGGTCATACTCCTAGTTACGTCATTGACTCACAATATAACTAGAGTAAAATTATAAAAACAAATCCCGATTGCAGCTGTAAGTTTCAATAAATATGTTTTAAAAAAACTGGATATTTATTCTGATAAATTTTTTGTTAATTCTTTCTGATCGTACCAATTAAATTACTTTTTATTTCTACTCCATACTTTTGTTTCATTTTAGTACCACCACTACATGCAAATTCCATTGATATTCATCCGAATGCAACATGGTCAAAGAATGGCATCACTGTTGCTGGAGGAAATGGACAGGGCAGTAGAATCAATCAACTTTCTAACCCATTGGGTTTATACGTCGACGACGATCAAACGATTTATGTCGCTGATCAGTGTAATCACCGTATTGTGGAATGGAAAATTGGTGCACCGAATGGAAAATTGGTTGCTGATGGAAATGGAGCTCATCAATTAAAATTTCCACGAGATGTGATTATTGACAAAGACAGCGATAGTCTCATCATCAGCGATGGGTGGAATAACAGAGTAGTTCGATGGCCTCGTCGAAATGGTACTCCTGGAGAAACAATTATTTCGAATATCTCTTGCTGGGGTTTGACAATGGACGACAATGGTTATCTCTATGTCGTTGACTATGAAAAACATGAAGTCAGACGATATAAAACTGGTGACACTCAAGGCACTGTGGTTGCAGGTGGCAATGGAAAAGGAAACTGTCTTGATCAACTCTCTAAACCCCGCTACGTATTTGTCGATCGAGAACATTCAGTTTATGTGTCTGATTATGGAAATAATCGTGTTATGAAATGGGATGAAGGTGCAAAACAAGGCATTGTCGTAGCCGGTGGTCAAGGACAAGGAAATAGTCGCACACAATTGAATCGTCCTAATGGAGTCGTTGTCGATCAATTGGGTACTGTCTATGTGGCTGAGGAACAGAATCATCGAATCATGCGTTGGCCTAAAGGAGCCACACACGGAAATGTCATTATTGATGGAAACGGTTACGGAGTACAATCGAATCAACTCAATCAACCCGTACGTTTATCATTCGATCGATATGGCAATCTCTATGTCGTCGATTGGAGAAATCATCGAGTACAAAAATTTAATATCGCATAAACTCAATTGGTATGATTAATTTTTCTTGGTTTCGTTCTCTTTTTTTCTCTTTCAAATAAATCGTGATTAAATGAAACAATGAATTGAAAGCTATTCTATTCTCGCACGCGCGGGAAGACTTACATCATCCACATGCACCCATCCGATGACATACGTGACTGAGTCTGGGGGCTCCATCGTGTGCCACGGACACCAAGACAGTTCCTGGCCGGGCTTTCAGGAACTACCCGGAAATCCTGCTTATAAGACGAACCTAACCTCAACGTACCCAGGACGATGATTACGACGGTCGTAAACGACCATACACGACCGATTACGTTCCCGTAAACGGTCGTAAACGCTGAAATTACGACCGTAAACGGACCGTATTTCACCAGTTTCGTAGCGACCGTATTACGGCCGTATAACACCGTGACGTATACGCTGAAACACGCCAACCGCATACACCAAAACCTGCGCCGTAAAACGGCCGTATTTCCACGGATACGATCGGAAACGTCAACGTATACTACCGTATTTCAACGTGAACTACCGTAATTAGCGTCGGATAAACAAAACCCCACTAATCCAATCCGCAGTCAAACTCTTGTTCCCAACTCCTTTAAACGCCTTTAAAGACGTTTCTCACAAAAACTCTGATTTCCATGGGGAAATCAGCTAGAGCACTGAGTTACTTAGAAAAAGGCCTTTAAAAGCATTTTACGAGATGTATCCAAGCATCTGGATCCGCATTTCAACTTACTTACGAAGTTTACGATTAAACTCCTTTAAACGCCTTTAAAGGCGTTTTTCACGAAAAGTTTGATCTCCTCGTTGAAATCATTTAGAACACTGCAGTTACTCACTAAAAGACGTTTAAATGTCTTTTACCGTACGGGTAATACTTACTTCTCGCCAAAGGGTAAGGAGTGAGAATCGAGTGAACAATTCACTCATATATATATACATATCTGTGACTCAAAACAAAATGGTGAATGAATACCGACCCTGTATTGACTCTGATTGGTTGAAAAGTTGACCAATCGGATTTCGGGAGACTTTTCCCTCTAGTTATAAGGACAATAGATAGCCATGCTTGGGTCGACCCTAGCGTTATCTAGGGTGCTCTATCGAATGAGGAATATATGTATGGGTCCCTCTTTGTGCATCTCTGAGTAGTAGAATCGCGGAATTCTATTGGTTCAAAAATGCATCCATCAGATTCTGGGAAGGTTGTGCTGTGTTTATATAATGGTGAGTAGGTATTTGTTGCTTAGCGTAATGGAACCGAGTAATAAGCTGTACGTCACTACTATTATAGGATTGGAAAGGTTCCGCTCGAAACTAGATTTGTTTTGTCATTTTCGATCGGCGAAGCTGAATTTCGTTAACTATTCGGAAGCTGGGAAGATATGATGCCTACTTTGTTGTGAGGCGAAGTTGTTAAATCGCAAGTGGGGTGCCATAGTGCATACGTATGCTGTAACGATAGACTGCTTTCGGCCTCAAGAATTGACGGTGAGTAACTTAGAAACGTCTATGACAATCTGTAAGGAAATTGACCGTACAAAATCTGTCTAAAACCAAGTCGACTGCAATTGTTTCCGTTGAGGAACCGAATATTGAGATTTCAAATGGAAATCGACGGATTTTTTTCTAGAATTTCCCGCGCTTTCCGGGGGGATATGATACGAAAGAAAGCGGAAAAATTCAACGAATTCCGTCCCAGAATACTGCCTCCGTGAAATCCCAGGAAAACCACTGAACCGACCGTTTCGTTGCCGGGTGTGGGTGTGGATTCTTTGAGGGTCAATACCCACACCCACACCCGTACCAACACCCCACCCACACCCACACCCACACCACCCACACCCACACCCCACACCCACACCCACACACCCACACCACCCACACCCTTATTGAATATTGACTAACAGATAAGATTTTGCCAAAATCACGATTTCAATAAACAGAAGAAATATCTTATTATCCACTTGATGATGAATATGTTGGACAAACACATACACACTGATTGGCAAAACTACTAACTAAGTCACAAGAAACGCATATATGAGCAGATATAGCAGGATTTCCTCCAACAGCAATCGATGAACACCCAGCATTGACCATAGATCCTTCAAGTACTGTTTCTATAATAAGAAAAGCAAGTAGTTTTGTATATTTCAAAAATAAATAAAATAGTTTTTAACTAACGTCCATCTATACGTGCTCGAGCTCGAATAAATCCTGTTGTTTCATCTCTCACATACCAAAGCTGTTGATTATCAAAAAAGTCATCATTAAGTCTTATCTGTGTGCTAGTTGGACATCCTTCTGAACAATCTTTTACCGAACCAAATGTTGCAGATGTTATATCACATTTATCATTGTTTAGAAGACCAATTGAGCCTTTTCTAGCCATATAGCTTCCATTGATATATTGTTCATTCAGTCGATTTTCTTCATCTATTCGAATTTTATCGGCTGCTGCAGTACGAGCTTGAATGATTTTTCTTAAATTGTTACGTACATCCGGATCAATTTCAATAACATCCGACCAAGGTATATATTCTTCAATTTTCAACAAAGCCGGATTAGCAGCTAATGTTTGTCGCCAACGTGTTACATTCTTCTCAGTAGGATCACCACCAAGCCAATGATCAACAGAAATTTTTCGACGATCAGCATAAAAACTATTACCAAGTGTTTCAGAAAGAATATCTTTTTTAAGATAATCATCTATATTTTCTGATGTAATTGCACCATTAAATGAAAATACACAATCTTTAAATAGAACTTGTTGTTCATGCATTCCACCTATATTAATTAAAGTAAATCTATTATGAAAATCTGTAATTTTTTTAGATTTTGTAACTTACCAATAAGAGATTGTTGCACTATGTGTGTACCCCAATTTCGTAAAAAATCCTTGTATAAAGTTTCATTATATTTAATTGGTAATTGTGCTATAGCTTGTTTGGCATATTTATTTAATTGAAGATTTTCAACACGTAATCGATATAAAACAGTTGGATTTTGTGTAATAGCTGTTCCTTGATTATTTGAAAAAAATCTTCTATAAATATCAGCTAATGATTTTGAATGACCGAATTCTCCACCTAACCAACTTCCTCGTAATTTTTCATATTTCCATTCATTTGATAATTCGGTAGCTGTAAGAAAAACACGAGCAATAGGTGTATTATCACTCTGGTTAATTGCAGGAAGAGATACTCCACGAGGAACTTGATATGTTGTATTTAAAATCGGATCAGTCCAATAGTTGTTTCCAATATAGGTATACTCCAAAACAGGAAGAAGTAGTGTACCTGTTGTTATGTCAAGACTCATACCAACACCAATCGGTAACTAAAACATACACAAATAAATTTTGATTTCAATTATTATGTACCCTTGAAATGTAAATATATACTTTAGGTGCATTTTCTGCTACTAGAGCTCGTCCTGTTGCTTTTGTTCCAAGACATTCCTTTCCATTATATCCAATATAAGGGCATAAAACACGTTTCGCTTCTTCGTAATTTATTGCTCGTTTCTGACGTTTTGTACGAATTTCATTTTGACTACATTTATTTTTCGGTGGACCTCGTAGACTTTCTAATTGATTGATATAGTTACGATCTTCTTTTTCAGCTAGTTTTAAGGCATAATCAATTGCTGCTTTAAGTGCATTACGTAGATCACTTTCTGGTAGAATTTCATCTAATGATATAAGACGATAAGAAATAGGATGAGGTTTTCTTTTTATTGTAGGAGCCCATTTTTCCCATTCAGATGGATTAATCGAGTCAGTACCACCTAATAATTGAGCTGAAGATATAGAATGTTGTCGAAAACGTTCATCAATTTCTTGTCTATAATCGTTGCTGTTTTCAGCAGATATTACGAATATAAACCAACTTTTTGTTACTTGTTCATCAATCCATGTTTGTGCATGTTCATGAGTTAAACATTTTTCATACCATGTTTCTGCCCAAACTTGACCACCCATGTTTGATGATACAACAACATGTGTTCCAAATATATCAAAAAGATCTTGCCAAATTTTTAAATCTTTTACATCAAAACGTGTTGGCAAATTATCAAAAGCTGTTTGAGCTATAGGATTTAATTTTGGATATGGAAATGCTGATACTGATAATGTATACCAACCAATTTGTTTCATTCGAAGTGCTAAATTATAATAATCTTGATAGAAACGGCGATAAAATTCCGTTACTGTTCTTTGAGTACGTTTTCGACGAATACCTAACCAACCACTTGACTCTGTAACAGTAACTGTTCTTGTCGAACGAAAATAATCTTCAACAGATGTTACTAAAATTGAACCATCAAATGTTAATGATTCAGGAGTATTAACAACAAACCATCCATTAGGTATTGAATAAGTTACGGTTTTATTATAAGGATCTGACCATTGTTCATTGTCAGTGAAATTACTTTGATCAAATATGCAAAATTTACTTTCCATTAAAAGAGGATCATATCCACAACCAACAACATCAAGTCCAATTATAGGACCTTGAGGTTTTAGTGGTACTAAAGACTTACGACGTGTACCTTGATCATTCAATTCAGCTAATGTTGGAAATACTCCGTTCTCTAAATAAAAGTCAATTGTTTTACGTAAATGTTGTCGAACTGTTGTTTCCTTTTTGATTAGATTATAAATAGGAAATAATGTTCGATTAACTACAACTGGATGATTACCAGCTGTTTGCTGCCATGTTCTATAAAGAATATATTTATTATAGTTTATATCGATTCTATTTAAAACTTACTGCCAATCTGATTTATTTTGTTGACTTGCTACTGGAGGTTGAAAAACAAATAATGTAGATGAAGTAGTCCTAAATTTTTCTTTCATTGAGGCCCAAATTTGTTCTATGTTGATTCCGCTTTGAAGACCAACGTTTTGATATTGAAACATTAAACCAACTTGATTTATTCTTTCTTCATATGAAGACTCTTTATAATAACTGGAGTCCATTAATGTATAT